CTCCGCGGAGCAGGGCTGGCCCGGGGCGGGTGGGCGTTGGAGTAAGGTCCTGGGCTGTCGAGGCGTTATCTGCTGGGCGACATTCCCTGTCGGGGGCCACTCGCCTCTGTACGTGGGTCCCCCAGCCGGGTTTTGGTCTTGGGTCACTTTCCTCTGCCGTATGTCTGTGGAGGGGTGGCCGGTGGTAGTTCTTGGGTCTTATTTTTAATATTCCCCAGAAGAGTTCCGTAACTTCAGGCCACCTCCAAAGGTTAAAAGGTTGTGAGTACCCTGTAGGCAGGTTAACATCCATACCTTTCTTTCACCGAAGACCTTTTGGGTCATGCTGCAAAGATGAGTTTCCACGATAAAGACATTTTTCTCTTAGCCTCTTTCTCTTCTGAACTTCCTGCTTGAGATTCAGTGTTGATTTTGTGGGATAAGGTGTAACTTGCCAATATAGTTTCAAATAATCTGTAGAAGACAAGGATGCAGTCTTGTTAACTCCCACAACATCTGACTCAGACATCTCTTTTATAACCTAAAGAGAAAAATATTCTGTAGCACAGTTAATAACTGGGAGAGGAATTCATAGATAAATATAGTGTTAAGGGAAGTTCATTCCTTGTTTTAAAAATTATTAAATATCTGTGGTCAAGGGCCAAACTTTGAAAGGTCACATATTGTTAATCTTCTTTAAACACAGGGTTGTTTGTAATCGATTTCTGTGCAAACTTTGGATATTGAGAATTTGTGCTAAAAAAACCCCTTTCAATTGTTATAATCCCTTATGATGATTGTCACGTAGCGTTCTAAGTATTCCATAATACCAGGCAAGCTTGTAACATTTAAAGCTGCTTTATACAGTTTAAAATAAGAAAAAAACCTTGGCAATAAATAAATTTTGGCAGAGGTGATATTTTCTATTACCTGATAACATTATTTGATCTGATAAATATTATCTGTGCTTTGTGCTGTAGCTTAGTTTTGTAAGTGATATCTTGAGTTGTCCTCTGACAAGACGTGCTTAAGGATGTTGAAACGTATTAAGCTAGTAGATCATGAGTATCATTTATGATCCTGAATGTTCTAGGGTTTATATGTTGCTAATTTAATTTATATTTTACCTCCTTCATTTATTATGTTATACTTCCTTATTTGGCTAATCTGAATTAGTGATCTGCCCTTATGGTTTTTTCTTTCTATTCTTTTGTCTAGAGCCTGACACTTAACATTTCTGCATGTCTTCCAGATGATGTATGCACACATTCTTCTTTTCACCACCCTCAGTAATGTTTTGTCCTATAACAGCTGATGAGGCTTAGGATCTGATTCTTTGCAAAATCTTCCATTGAATGTATCTTCTTTCTTCCCTTGCTTTGGCTTTTCTAAACTGTCTGTTCTTCTATTCCTGCCATATCACTTTCCAGAAGAGCAGTAAAACAGTGGAAAGAGAACAATGAGAAAGCTCTCACTTGCTAGAAAAAAACGCGCTTTTTTTAAGAGCAGTGTAAAAAGCTTACCTTTGCCTGTGTGCTTTTTTGAAATAGCTGTTGAAAAGAACATGAGAATTGTTTCCTTTGGTTACAACAGGGAGGTTTGTATTTATAATTACTTATATTTCATCCTGAGCTGCAGCACTGTATTGCTAACAAGAATTTAGTTAGCTGCATCTGCTGCCTTTTCTTCCTCTCCCCCACTCCCAGATTTTTGAAGAGCAAGAGAATTATCTTGCCCCAAATCACAGTAAGGTGAGGGGTAAAAAACATACTGATATTTTGAGAAATCTTAGTCATTTCTCTAGTAAGATCATCTGATAACTCTTGTAATGTGTACTCATATTTTAACTGTTATTCATTCATACCTATCTTATTCCATTTGAAGTCTGTGGAGCTGGGGTACACTATAGCATTTGCAACGTGTACTGTTTCACTGCTGTCTGCCTAAAACAAGTACCTACAGCTGTGCTCTCAGTGGGCAGAGACCTAGCACGGGCTACTTCCCCAGTAAGCGTATTTTTCCTTTGTTGTGCAGTTGGTTTGTTTGTATTTTAATAATTATGTGGCTGACTGTCTATAAGAACTTACTAAATAAGATTAGCAAACAGCAGATGCTTTCTAAGTGACTTCAAGGGAATTGATGTTCTAAGTTTACTTTTTCTGACGTTTGCTGTGTAAGTATCTTGGTTTACCATTTTCAAAGCTTTTCCCTACTTTACATGTAACTTTTGCGCCTAAACTTCAGCTACACTTTTGCCTAAAGTCATGATGGTTAAAATTTTGTTCTACACTGCAGCTGTTGTTAGTATCATTACCTAGAAACATCACTCCTTTATATGCTGACAATATATGCAATGGTGGTAGTAATATGAATGCATGTTTAAAGAAAATTGCATGATGAATCTCTTTCATCTTGAATTGTGCTGGAAAATTTCCCAATGTTGTAGTATTGCTAAGCTCAGGGAAATGCTAGTGTAGTTCTTGGAAATACTGCATCGGTTTCTCTAAAAAAAAAGCTGTGTATTAACTCCTTCAGTTAAAAAAAAAATTCTTAGATACTAGTGCAGTACTAGGTAGTGATACTTGTGTACCCCAAAGAAAGAAACATTTACCAATTGGCAGTAATTTATTTCTTTAAACGCATCTTGAGCCTATAACATACTAAGTTGTGCAACTTGCTGTTACATTCGTAGGTTTGTAACTTAAGGTTTTCAAGCAGTGTTCCTTTGGCTGATGGTGTTGGCATGCCCACAGAATGACAGACATCTTCAAATGTAGTGTTCTGCTGTTTGAAACACTGAAGCGTTGCTGTCAGTAATATTTGTGCTTTAAGAAGGAATAGAAACCGATGATGTTTTTACCATGAAACCTACAGGACACCTAGACAGCATGCTTGAACAAATATTTGCATTTTCCATTGCTTCATAAGCAGTCATTCATGTTGCTCCTTAATATTGCTATAACAACAGAAAATTAGAAATACCATCAGTCAAAAAACAGAGAGGCCAGGTTAGAAAGATGAGGAGATGGTGAACTGAACACAGCAGAGGCTGGCAAAAGGAAAATGTTCCTGGCAGAGGAAAGTTGTTGCTGTTTGTATGAGTATGCTAGTACAGTTACAGTGTGGAAGACAGGCATCAGAAAGACAGGTGCTTTTTTCATCAGCATTAAAACTAAAATTGAGTATTGTAAGATCATCAAAATGTAGCTAAGATGATACACTTTTTGGTTTTAATTATGCGTGTGGGTCAAAGCTCAGCTCCAGGATGTTCATTTCCAGTAGTTGCAGTAGCACAGGCAGATTGTTCAGGGGTGATCCTCGTGGCTGTTGACAGCTTTGTCAGTCTTACTGGCGTTTCAGTAACGCTGCGGGGGAGTGCCAAAGAAAACCCTGAGCCCTGTCCACGTGGGGACTTCACTCAGCTGGTCTTTTTTTGATCAAGGTAAATCCTGTAAATCTCTTTTCTCATTCTGCCAGTATCCTGGGAAGAAATCTTAGTTTGGGTGTTTGCCTTGAGCTTCATTATCTTTACGGGGAGCTGAAGGTTGGGCAAACATGGGACTCGTGGAATAGAAGCATGTTAATTGCTGAACTGCATTTATGTAAGGCAGGTTTTTCTCCGAAATGAGAAAATGCTGTTGCCATCTGCTGCCTTTGCATATAGCAGGGCTCTTTCTGGGCCATAACCACAGAGACTGAATTAGCAGGTGCGTGGGTTCACTGGTGTTTGTCAGATCTCTTCTGTCTTGGGTTGTCATTGACAAGTACCAGCTCACTGCTGGTTCTGCAGAGGGGTATTCGTGATGGTTTTTAACTTGTAGACTATCTTACTTGACTTTTTTCTGATCCTGTACCTTCTCTGCTATGGAAAGTAGCTGGAGTTTGATAAAATCCTTCCTATTCTAACTTGAGATCAAGATGTAAGCCTTTTCAGTGGTTTCGGAGTGCCTATATATGCCTTGGCTTTGATGTTGTTTCTTCCCTGGGCCCGTAAGAGATACTTGCTGGTTTTCATGCTGTGCATATGAAGATTTTTTAACATGTTCTGCTGCTCAAGATGCTGGAATTTCAGGGTGGTTGCTTTAACGCTACAGCGAGCCCAAACTTTTTGTCTCTCTGTTACACTATTTTAGGACGCTTTTTGATAGGCATTTCAATTCCCAGAAAGTCCTGTTATAGAGGACCCACAGAAGTATTCTCTGCTTTGTCCAACTTACTGTATTTAAATTGGTATGAGCTGTATGAATGGAAATAACCAAATTACCGGTGTAAGCACCGGCTCCAGACCGGTCTTTCCCAGTGT